CAGCAACTTATTGTGATCAGTTACTAGACCCAAAGCGTCCTGACTTGGTCTCATGTTGTTGGCTGGATTCAGCCTTTTCTCGCTGGGAAATGTCTCTAATATACTAATAGTGCTTTCCAAGATGGAGCGATTTCCCAAGGCCCGGGCCTACCCACTGGGAATGGACACCTCCAAACAGCCGAGGAGAAGCCTACAGGAGAGTACGACAGGCCGACTCTTTAGGTGAAGCCCCAGGAATACTTGGAATAAACAGATCCCCATTGGGCCAGGAGTCCTGGTGGCACAGTGGGCTAAGCAACTGTCACATGGCCAGTGTTTGAACCCCAGCAGCTGCCCTGAAGGAGGAAGTTGAGGCAGTCTGTTCCCATGAAGATGTAAACACTCAGAAACCCAAAGCAGCATGTCCACTCTGCCCTGCACAGCGACTACAAGTTAGAATTGACTCATGGCCATGGTCCGGCTTGGATTGTGGCTGGTGTCTGAGAGAAAAGCCTGGAACACTAACTCCATAAGAAAAGGAATCTCATTTGACAGGGAGGTGATTCCATTTCTTATGGAGTTGGTATGCAGAGCGGCTGGTGGTTTTGAACTTCTGGCCTTTAGGATTGCAGTCCAAGTGCAACCACCATGCCACCAGGGCTCCAGTAGGTCTAGCCTCAGATACCATGTTGAAAACCAGAACTGTGGGTGTATGCACAGGGCTTCTCAGATGCTGGGGAGCTCCTGATAGACTCCCTGGACTCTCGAGTGGTGACCTGCCACAAGTCTTTCACGCCAGGAGCCACGTTGTACTCATGGTATAGGCCCAAGGCATTCTGTAGGTCAAAACAACCCTGATGCTGCTGTCAGTTCAGCATTGGGCTGCTAACCCCAAGGTTGGTGCCTTAAACCCACCAGTTGCTCTGTGGGAAAATGGCCTTGAAGATTTACTGGCTTGACAGTCCTATACAAGGTCAGTCTGAGTCGGCACTGACTCAATAGCAGTGGGTTTCTTTTTTGTTTGGGATTGGTTCAGGTGTTCAGTTCAGCCAATTCTAGCATCTAGCCAGGTGTGTGTCTAGAGTATTATGTGAGAGAACATAGAACAGTTACCATACCACCAAACGGAAATGTGTACGTCATGCAACCAATACAAGGAACATCGGGCTGTAAACCACCAAACATGGGTCAGAAACCCCTGCCTTCAAACGCATGCCAACTTTCTTCTCATTTCTTTCCCTTCTCTGGAGGGGTACGTGCCTCGATGTTTCCAGATGCAGCCCGCTGGGGCTGGTGTTGGAGGCTGCCTGTGCATCTACAATTGCCTTCCCAAGCTGCTGAGCCAGTGCAAGATCAAGCCCAAGGTACTCACGAATCCAGGAGGGGGGAGACCATGGTGGCCCGCAGGGTGGCAGTGTTGATTTTCTCCATGCAGACTTTGCACTTCATTGTCCCCGCTGGGCTCACCCCACACCTGGGGTGCCAAGGAGTTTAGATGCCCGAGCATGTTCCACCACAACCAGTGGGCCAAGCTGCTAGAAGTCTCATGCCATTCGGGTGAAGTTCATTTGTACTCCCTGCCCTCCCGAGTGGCCACCTGGACCAGTGCTGCGTGTTCAGAAAGGTGTTAACAGGGCTGAGCAGAGCGGAGTTGGAAGGCCCTTGCGGAAGGCACCGTGAGAATGCAGGCATGGGGGTGGGGGAGCAGCTGCTAAGGCCTGCTAGCAGACAAGTGGAAACACTGGTTGCCCTAATGCAGGAGTCCTCAAACTTTTTAAACAGGGGGCCAGTTCACTGTCCCTCAGACCGTTGGAGGGCCAGACTATAGTTTTTAAAAAAAAAACTATGAACAAATTGCTATCCACACTGCATGTATCTTATTTTGGAGTAAAAAAACAAATGGGGCAAAAATACCTGGCGGGCCAGATAAATGTCCTCGGCGGGCCGCATGTGGCCCGCGGGCCGTAGTTTGAGGACTCCTGCCCTAATGCATAAGTTCTCTGAGTTTCTGGGATCTCAGATTCTGTACAGTTGAACGAATTGGGGGAGCAGTGGGAGGTGACCTTTCTGAGTATTCCCCTCGGGCACAAATCAACTTCTAACACGAGGAACCACAGTGGTTGCGCTTGGTGTGGTCTGACAACAGAAGGGCTCTCTCTGACTCTTAACCATCATGCCCATCAGCCAGAGCATTGGCCTCTGGCGTCCCACAGGGAAGACAAGGGGTTCCCCCTGGTCTCTGTGTTGAGCACACCAGTAATCAGTGGGGAGAAGATGGGAAATCTAGGAGTGGTCTGTCCACAGCACACGGCTATCTCTTGTGTTTTAAGAAGGGGTTCAGCAAATATCGCAGCCCCCACAAAGATGCATTGCCGTCCCTAAGAGTCCCTGGGAGGTTTCCTTCCTTCTTATTTTATCTGGGATGTTTTGCCACAGAGAAACAAAAACAGAAACAACTTGTTTTCAAATCAAACCGATAGGAAAGGAAACAAACACACGGAACAGTTCCGTCAAAGGAAATTTAACCAGCAAGCACACGGAACTACGTCTCTGCACGGCTTCAGCTGCGGGAGAAGGACCACCCACGTCCAAGAGCCAGTCCTCTTTAGCAGTCAGCACATGGCTGGGGACCTGCAGAGGAGGGTTCCAGGCGTGTTTACAGTCTCGGTCCCACCACCTTCCTTCCTTTCAGGAATCTCGCTTCCTGCTCGCTGGGTGATGAGACCCTTCCCAAAGGGCAAGCTACTTCGACAGTAAGCGGCTTGGGAGTTTTGGGGTGAAAATAAGCTCCGAGGACAGAGTATTTTCACTTCCGCAAAGAAGTCTGGGGACACAGGAGCTGATTAGTGGAAGAGAACAGGAGCGAAGACATCACACCATGACGATGCAAAGCGCTGTGAGCTGTGGAGATGAGGGTGGCGGGAGGCAGGGGTGGGACACAGAGTGGCCGAGTGGTGGGTGGCTGTGGGGTGGACTGGCAGGTGGGGGACTGGGCAGGGGCCCTGGGCTTGCTGTCCGAGCAAAAGAGCTCAGGAAGGTGAAAGTGTGCGTGGGGGCGCGCTGGCTGAGAGAAGTTCTAGGAGAAGCTGAAGAGAGAGGTGCTGTCTTGGTTGTCAGGCAGATCACCTAATGAGGACTTGCCATTTTTGAGAATCCAAAACCCACAATCTGGATAAAACAGGAAAAGAAAAAAAGAAAGAAAAAAAAAGCTGGGGGTGTTAGTAGCTTTTATTCAGATGTGTGGGTTCGGTGAGCGCTAAAGTAATTCCCTCCATTTTACCTGTCTTACTGTAAAATCCAGAAGTAAAGAGGATGATGAAATTCTGCCCCACGAATCCCAGGATGGTGGGTGCTCCTGTGGAGAAGCCGTATGTACACCCGGAATGCCATCTGATGAGAAATACCAGGTGGGCTTGGTACGCTCAACACAAGATTTGTCGGGGGTCCCAATAATGCGTGCGGGAAGAATTGGAGACGTCTGTTCCAATTGATTAGCGAAGGGTGTGGTTTGGAATGAGTCTTTTCCCAACTACCCAGAGGCAGGCCTTCCTACAGCATGGGCGCTTCTCATCATCCTCTTAGCCTTCTAGAACAGTGTGCAAACCAGGAGAATCAGGTACCTGCTCTGTGGATTGTTGGCAGAGGGTCCAGGCTGGGAGTGACTACATTTGCCTCGTGGCTGTTTGCAATGAACAGGGGGGGCAAAGAAAGAAGAATGTTCAGTCCAGGCAAATAAAGACAAGCTACTGATGAAAATTAAACTAAAAGTGCAGCAAAGGAGACACAAATCAAATGAAATGATCATCGAGCCTCGTGACTTCAGGAAACTGGCTTTTCTTTGATTGAAGAAACCAAGCAGGTTTTCCATCGACAGGATTAGTCATCAAGAAACATAAATTAGGGCACTATAGTCCCCATCAAAGTCTCTTATGTACATGTTTTTCTTATCATGGTAGAAACAAAACTGATTCCAATCAGCTCAATGGGCTCTCTATATTTACTTACAATCACTGTGTAATTCATTACAGCCTGAAATGCATTTCAAAGATACTTTATGAATATATCTTGTTCTCCCTGTTTCCTAGAACCCGGAAACATCTCACAGACTCTGGGAAGGTGAAAAATAACGACAATCACATGTGGCTGCTCTTTGTAGAGCGGGAAAGAGCCAGTAAGCCCCACATGTTGGTTAGTGACAGGTTAAAATTTGAGTTAAAAAAAAAAAGCCAGTATTCCTTCACATTCTAAAACTAGGATCTACAGGAAACTAGTGAATGCCGTTACAAAAAGGAAAAATGAAATCCTAAAAACGATAATAACATTTATCAGCATAGAACTTTAACACAAATAAACTCCATACTTGTGAAAACGAAGGAGAATGGAATGATAAACAAAATGAATAGACCCATGATGCAGGACAAAATAAATAAATAAACTAAACACAAGCTTCTAATTACATCGAGAAACCAAGGTATAGAGGGCAGCCAGGGCCACGCCTGTCTGTCCGTCTCCGCTGTGGTTCGGTGAGGGCTGAGGGCTCACACAGGTCTTGAGTGGACTTGAACTTGTTGCTACCCTGGAGGCTTTGAGGGCTGACGGGAACTTCGAGGACTCCACTCAGGAGAGCCTTCCCTGGCGAGTCAACAGAACCTCTACTCTTACACTCAGTGGTCTCAGAAGACAATCTCGCTCTGGTGCCCCTCGGGGTGGAGGCCCTGCATGAAGCTGTATGCTACGCCCTAGGGGAACACGGTGGTGGTGGTTTGAAGGGAGCAGTCACCAGAGGGACAAATGAGTGCCATGCTAGAACAATCCCAGTCATTGGTCTCCCTGTACTACCCACCACACTTTGAGCCCTGGCTTTTTTTTTTTATAAACCAAACAGAACCACTGGTGCTGGGGAGTGGTGCTAATCTTTCCAATACCCTCCTCATGGGGGGGCTCTTGCTTGGTGGGACTCTGTGGTGGGCACCAATGCGTCTCTCCCCAGTGCTCCCTCAAGGGGACCCGCAGAGAGTTACCGTGCTCTGTCGGCTGGGGGTGCTCCTTCCTGAGGCAGGACTCACAGACCCCGAGGTGTCCAGTTCATCAGCAGACGACCACGACGACAAATCCTGCCCGGGACACGCACTGTCAGTAAGGATTCCTGAGAGGGTCTGTTCCTAATCCCTGCTCCCTGCTCCAGCCACGTCTCCAAAGTCAAACCCTTTCTTAGGAAAAATAGGACCCAAAAACTACATAAAAGATGGGATTGGAAACTCTGAGTTGTGAATGACCTGGAAGATAGAGCTAAAGCGTTGCTGTGACTCCTCCACGTATGGCATTAATAGTTCGTGGAGATGGGCGACGAGCCCCCTGTCTGTCATTAGGTGGTGTCATTCTTAAGCACTTGGCTGCTAACCGGAAGAAGCTGCTAGACAAGGACATTTGCTTGGCACGTACCTGCTGGCTGCTCGACATGTCCAGCAACTTCTCCAGGTCCTTGATATGACGGCTGACCTCCTTCAAGAGGAGCTTCCGTCGGTTCCCAATGACGTGGACCTTCTCTTTGGCTTCCAGACAGTCTGCCCCCTCCGCATTCACCAGCAGTTGACGAGACATGTCTTGAAGGGAGGCCACTTTGGCATGGGACTCCAACAGCTCATGCCGTATTTGCTATGCAGAGGATAAGATTTATTTTGTCATAATTTTTTATCATGGGCAAAAATTGGAGAAGGACAGGGTGACGTGACTGTCATCCAGCAGGTGAGTGTACTCCCTCTTCAACCACTCTGGTCTCGGTCTGCTCATCTGGTGAAAACAACCCCTTCCTGCCCGGCACACAGCAAGTGTGAGTCAAAGGTTCACATCGATCAGTGTCGGGGAAAGAACTTAAAATCTGAAGTATGATGCAAATGAGGCACCAGGGATTCTATTGAACGGAAATGGAACAACAACAACAAAAAAATCCACTGCGATTGAGTCGATTCCGACTCACAGCGATCCTATGGGACAGAGGAGAACTACCCCTTTGGGTTTCTGAGACTGTAACTCTTTATGGGATTAGAAAGCTTCATCTTTTTCCTGAGGAAAAACTTTTCAACTGCTGAGCTTGCAACGTGCTACCCACTACACCACCAGGGGTCTGACAAAATGCAAGTAGGTCAAGGTATACCCTGATATCTACACAAGATTATACACACACACACACACACACATACATATATACACACACATACATAGATATGTAATTCATAATTTAATTTTGGACAGAAGTCAAAGGTCCAATACAAATCCAATTGCGTGGCGATTTCCTCTTGGTTACAGACTGATTCTGCAATTTAGGCTAGTTAAGTTGAAAAGAGGGTTTTAAAATCCCAGAAAATCCTTATTACGCCTTGAAAACTGGCATGCCTTCTTTATGTCAAGAAATGCAGACACTCTGATCCCAGTTTGCCCTTTTGCCTTAGCTTTAGGTGAAAGGCAAGGTGAAGCTTTAAGACAACCCAGCGCTAAGGTAAATGCTGAATTGGATGATTTTTACTCTTCTTACAAAGTCTAAATGGTCTCTTCCTCCTCTCACAGTTCCAGGGGCCTTCAGAGAGTCCATGGGGGTCATAACTGGTCATGCACTTGACTACTAGCCAAAGGTTTGGGAGCCTTTCTTGGGAGAAAGTCTTGGCCATCCACTGCCCAAAGGTCATAGCCGTGAATCCGTCACGGAGCACAGCTCTACACTGAGCACCCTGGTGAGCTGCCGGGTCAGAACTGCTCACCAGCGGATTCAAAACAAAACAAAACAGAGTCCTTTCATGATTCTTCTCAACATATACTTTGGGGACACCAACTTACCAAGAGAAGTTGAACTTTAAACACACACACACACACACACACACACACACACACACACACACACACCGGAATTCACCAAAGAGCTGCCTTCATAAATAGAAGCCCGTACACACACGAAGCACGCACACACACACACACACACACACACACACACACACACACACCAGAATTCACCAAAGAGCTGCCTTCATAAAAAGAAGCCCGTTGAGATGGAGAAAATCTAACATGTTCCCTCTGAAGCAATGACTTAAGAACAAAAGTTTAAAGCCAGCAGATGTCGGCTTCCGAGTACAGGTGCAAATAGCACACGTCACGGGCCATAACCCCAAAGTCACAACAAAAACGCTGTCACCTACACACGTTTTCTTTATGCGAAGCGGAACCGTGCAAAAGCCAGCTAGCAGTACCAGAGCCCACACATCCTACCGTAAGCTGCTTGTGCTGGTCCTGAAGCATCTCGGTGTCAAGATCAGCATCGATCGGAAGAAGTTCGTGCTTCCTCCTGTCGATGTTCTCCAGCATCAGGAGCAAGCCATGGCTCAGCTCATGGAAGTCCTGCCAAAAACAAAGGGGAGTGTAAGGCAGCCTTAGGTCCCAAGCTTTCCTTTCCCCGTCAGGGGAGATTTAATTTCCGTCCTCGACCATAGCGACGGGTGAGCAGGACTGTGTTTAAGGACGACTGAAAAGTGGATATACCGGGATTGTGGTGTTGGTGAGTAAGAGTGAACATACCAGAAGAAGCCTAGCCTGAATGCCCTGTGGAAACAAAGGCGGCAAGATTTCGTCCCACGTCCCATGGGCATGTTCAGGAAGGATGAGCCTCTGGAGAAGGACCTCGTGCTCGGGACAGTGGAAGGTCAGCAACACAGAAGACCCTTGAGGAGCTGGACGGGCGCAGTGGCTGGACCCGTGTGAGGACGATGCAGGACTGGGCAGTGGACCCTTCGCTTGGACACAAGGTCACTATGACTCCGAAGAGATTTGTTGGCAACACTAGCACCACAAAAACTACTACTGCAAAGATATGCTCCGTTCAAGAGGAAGGGATTGGGGCTGCTAGGGTTACCTGAATTCATGTGCCTACCAAAAAGATCGAATGTGTTACTTGGGGAATTTGAGACAGGATAAAAATGGGTATCCAGCGACTTATTTCTGAAAGAAGAATGATATGAGTAGACAAACCCACTCCCCTCTTTTCTCTGTGAACCCAAATGTTCTCATCTTTTAAGATGTTGGTCCCATCTCACATGCCTGTCATTCATCATCTACCCATCCATTCATCCCACGGACAGGGACTTGAGTGTAGGCACTGTATTATAAGCAAATGAGCAGTAGGCCAATGGAGGAGCTACAGGATCCTTGGTGTCCCTGAGTAGTACAAATGGTTAGCATATTTGACTGCTCAGCAAAAGGCTGGTGCCTTGATGACACCTTTTCTGCATGACTAAGAAGGCCCAGCAATCTGCGCTGGAAAAGCCGGCCGCTGTAAACCCGATGGGACCCAATCTTCTCTGACATACACAGGGTCATCAGGAGTCAGAATCAATTAGCAGGAAATGAGCTTTGTTTTTCGGTCTTACTCTGGGAGTGCACACAGACCTGGAGGGCTGGCTCCACATTCTTCAAGGGATAGCTGGGACAGTTAAACTACAGCCCAGACTCCTGGCCCTGAGACACGGGCCATGCATGATGGGATGGCTGGCCCTCTTCCAACCCTTCTGCTCCCTCCCCATCTCACGTACTATGCTATTGACGCCGGTTTCTTTTCTTTCTGAAAAGACTGGCGTCCCATTCCTGCTTCCAGAACACGCCAGGCAGCTCGGAGAACTGTAGGACTCCTCCGGCCATTCCTCCAAAGCGGCCTTTCTCAGTTATTCTTGGCGTCAAGAGCTGGAAGCGTCCTTGTGTATTATTTACTCGGATTTTTCTTGGCTGCCTTCCCTGCTCCAGGACGAACCCATGTGGGGTCCCAACTACTTAGTACAACATTGACTGGGCCATCGGCAATCGATGATGGGAAGAATGGATGGATACACATTTACAATGCTCACTTTGATGCTCATCAAGCATCCGTGCTGTGCCCAGGAAAGGTGTGCACGATGAAATAAATGAATGAGCAGAAGAAGGGGATGTCGGTCTCAGAGAAACTTGTGGGGACAGGGTCTCTGGAGCTGAAAAGAAGCCAGGCCTGAAGCTGCTGTACCCCTGACCTCCTGGACAGACACTACAGTGAAAGAAAGGTTTAGACACAAAGTCTGCTAGCTCGGAGTCCCTGAGCAGTGTAACTAGTCAATGCACTTGGCTGCTTAAGTGAATGGTCAGCAGTTTGAATCTACCCAGAGGTGACCCGTAAGAAAGGTCTGGCAGTCTGTTTCTGAATAATCAGCCATAGAAAACCCCTGGGAGCAGACTCTGACACACATGGGTTTACCAGGCCCTGGAACTGCCTTGATGGCCACCTGTTTGCTAAGCGGGTTCAGTCAAGTCACAGAGTAAAGGAAACTGGACATGCGGCGTGGCACAGAGACCTGGCACTGCATCAGCGCGTCCTGAAGCAGACCCCGCCACTCCTCCAGCAAAGAGCACACCCGCTCCCAGCGCCCGTTCATCCGGGACAGGCGGCCCTGCAGATGGCGGCTCTCCTCGCTGTCCGCCTGCGTGAACTCGGGGCTGCACAGGTTGATGGAGAGGATGATGGCCTTGCGGTGGTCCAGAGCTTTCTGCAGCTCCTGCAATGAGAAGGGAAGGCAATCAAACAGGGGCAACCTTCATAAAGCCATCTTTACAAAGGGGTTAGGACCCTTCGGGTGCGACCTGGGATGCCAGCCTGTCTGAAAACCACTCTTTTGCCAAAACGATAGCCGGAACTAGCAAGATCCCTGGCGGTATGAAGGGTGAAGGCTTTGACGACGACGACGAGCTAAAGAGGTTCAGTTCCACCCTGAGGTGCCTCAGAAGAAAAGCTTGGTCACCGCTTGACCAAGGTCCCCGCCTCGACCCTATGCTGTTGTTCTTGTTGTTGTTTTTAGGTGCCACCGAGTTATTTCCAACTCATAGAAACCCTATGCAGGACAGAGCAAAACACTGTTCGGCCCTGTACCATCCTCACAATTGGTCTTAGGTTTCAGCCCACTCTTGCAGCCATGAACACTATAGGGCAGTGGTCCTCAAACTATGGCCCGCGGGCCACATGCGGCCGGCCGAGGACATTTATCAGGTCCACCGGTGTTTTTGCCCTGGTATTTATACTTCCAAATAAGATATGTGCAGTGTGCATAGGAATTTGTTCACAGTTTTTTTTTAAAAACTCTAGTTCGGCCCTCCAATGGGTCTGAAGGACAGTGAACTGGCCCCCTGTTTAAAAAGTTTGAGGACCCCTGCTCTAGGGAGTAGTTCCACGCTGCACTTGGGGATGGCCATGAGCCAAAAGTGACTCCAAGCAATGGTTAACACCAGGTACACTGCGAGGGGGCTGTGCACAGCATTGAGAAGGACGCAAACATAGACGGAATGGAGGGAGGAACACACGACAACACAGGTGGATCTCCACACAGTGCGGAGGGAAGTAACTGGCAACACAAGGTGACGTGTGAACACAGTAGCTTCTGTAACTTCAAATGCATGTCAACACACATTTGCACACAAGTCTGTTTTTTTTAAGAATGGACTTGAACCAGGAAAACTTATGAGTTTTCAGAATACTTGCCATGACTTTTGAGGCACGAGAATTAAGAACTAGTGATGAAACAAGAATAAGTACACATGGGGAAGAGGAGGCTCCCAGGAGCCCACGACGAGCCTGTGCAATGCCGTAGGGAGTGTGATGAACTGACCCCCTGCGGGAATGCTCAGCCATAGCCGGGGCAGTTTCCAAAGCAGGACACCTACATGTTTAAGCAGTGGGTCTAGGGGGCCTCCAACTGGAGTGCACTGGAATCAAGGGGAGAGTTGGTCAAGAAGGAAGGCTCGAGGGCCCCAGTTCTGAGATGTCTACAGACACCAATGGGAGTGGACCTACCCTGAGAAGCCTGCTGGGGTCACAGGCTCTGTTCCTGGAGTGGGAAACAGAAGGGAATGAGTATTTCATCAGTTAACCAACTTACTTTGACTCCACAAAAAACAGCCAACTGATTGTCAGCTTTGGGTGTTAAAAAAAAATCATGGTTCAATTCCAAGGATTTGATCACAGGATGATCTCACCTGGAGACTGGTATAGGGTCCCCAGATGGAAGTATGGTGAGCCATCCTGGAAATCCCAATGATCCAGCCCACATGCTCCTGGATTTTCTCAGCTGCCCTGCCCTGCTTCCTACTTGTCCTTACTTTTCACTTCTACATAGGCCCTTAACATGTTGAAGTGACAATTCAACCACAGGAACCGCAAATGGTCAAGAAACCCCGCGGTGAGATGCTTAGCAACCCTAATGGTGGATTTAAAGAAAACATAAGTAGGAGGGTTCAGGATGGTGCACAGAGAGGCCAAGTTTGTGGTTAGAGGGGCTAACTTGGCAGGCCTGGCGACCTTGCCTTAATCTCGCTGACCCCTATTCCTCAGTTGTTGGGACTGTGGTGGTCTCCATGTTGCTGTGAAGCTGAATGCTGAGCCACCAGCACTTTAAAGACCTACAAGGTCACTGGTAGGTCTTCACAAGTTTCAGGCGCACTTCGGGGCTAAGACAGGCAAGGAAGAAAGAAAGATCAGATCATCTAATCCCAAACACTTAGCTAACAAAAACCACATGGAGCTCAACACGCTATTGTCCAATGCACCATTGGATGGTGAGCCCTTTAGTTGAGGAGGCACTCAAAGTATACAGTGGCTGTCACAGTGGGCTCACGGACACCAGTGATTGTGCAGATGACGCCCAGCTGGGTGACATTTCATTCTGTTGTATACAAGGTGGCCATGAGTGCTAGCCAACCGGAAGGCTGCTTACAACAACAACAGTAATCTTGCCTTTAATCTTTCAACTCTTCAAGGAATTTGGCTCCACTGGCAACATAAGCTCTTCTCAGAGAGAAGAGCTGGAGAAAATTCGGTACTCCAGAGAAAATTACATTTTATAATCGCTAGGTTTAAAAAATCGCACTTCCTCTTCAGTGCTCGCTCCTGAAACGGGTGGATCTGTTGTCCAGACTATTGTGTAGGGATGTGACTGTTGGGGAATCTGTGGAAAGACTTGTTTTCTGTTTGGAATTTCAAAACAAAGCAACACAATAGCCAAGAGCGAGTCGCAGCAACAGCTACCCAAAATAGACAGCTTACACTAAAGCCATTGAAACAGAAAAACAGGACACTTAACCCCTGAGGCAAGGCTGAATGGTCTGGGGAGCTGCATTTGGAAGAGGAGCACATCTTGAAGTTCTACAGAGAGTATTCAGGTCTAAATGAGCTTTAAAGAGAACCCAAGCTCTCAATCCATAGCTGGACAGCTATAGGAAAGCCTCCACCTACTGATGCACTTTTAGTAGCAGGGCTGGAAGGAGACTTAAGATCTTACAGTAGAGTTAAGGGAAGTTATCTTGCATACTTTGCTTGCTGAAAGTGAAGAGGGTTTGAAGCACTGACTGATGAAGATCAAAGACTACAGCCTTCGGTGTGGATTATATCGTCATTTAAAGAAATCAAAAATTGTCACCACCGGGGAATCATCAATTGAAATTTGTCAAGGATTTCATTTTACTGAAATCTATATTCAATTATCCATCAAAGCAGCAGTCAAGGTATTAACATTTGCTTTGGGAAAATCTGCTGCGTAAGACCTCTTGAAAGTATTAAAAAGCAGCAGTGTACCTTGAAGTGCACCTGACCCAAGCCATGGTATTTTCAATCACCTTATATGCTTGGGATAGCTGGGAAATGAATAAGGAAGATCAAAGAGGAATCGACTCATTTGAACGATGGGATAAGCAAAGAGAATTGAGTATATACCTTGGCTTGCCAGAAGAACAAACAGACCTGCCTTGGAAGAAGTCCAGGCAGAGAAGGTGCCTTAGAAGAGAGAATGGTGAGATTTTTGTCTCATCGACTTTGTCCATGTTATTGGGAAGGACCCATTCCCTGCAGCAGGAAATCATGCTTGATTAGTGAAAAAGAGGAAGACCCTCAATGAGAGCGACTGATGACAGTGGTTCAAACATAGTCATGACAGGGAGGATGGCCCAGGATCCGACAGTTTCCTACTGCATTGCACATGGCATTGCTATGAATTGGGACAGACTGGCTGACACCCAATGAAATCATCTCCGTCTACCCAAAGCAAAGTCAAGTGCAATGCCAGGTACTTTACCACAGTTGTAGTTGGTAGTGGTCTGCCATTGGGTCGACTTCATGTACAACAGAACAGAGCAAAACCTGGCACCATCCCCAGAAGGGGTATGAAAAGGACCTTTGAACCAGAGCTGCTAACGGCTGACTTTTGGAAGAGCAGCAGCAGACCTGCCTTCCTCGCCTCCATTAGTCTAGAAATCCTGCAGAAATCTGCGCAGCAGTACACCAACATGGGTCGCTCTGAGTCTCCTGTGAGCCGCAACTGACACAGGAGGTCCTTTGTGTAGAACGGACAGTGGACCTCCAGAATGGAATCTGAGAATGCTACCACTGAACCATTGATGCCCACGCTTACCATGCTCACACACAGCCATGTTGTTTTATTTCCTAGTGACCGTCACAGTAGAAAGTGCTTCTTCCACTGCCACCACCAATTGCGGAGACTCCGATGATGCAAGCAGGTCAAAGGAGTTTACCAGGTGTCCCACAAACCCACAGGTTCAATCTTGGGGAGCATTCCTCCCCAGCCCAAGAAGACAAGTTTGCAAGTGCCCAACCATCTGTGTTTCTCTTGAAAATAGGTCAAAGCTGACCCTGAGCTGCCTAGATGTTTCATGACATGTCAATAACATGACATGTCATTTCTTAAATACCAGCTCATTACACTACGTGGGATTGTTGACATAGGAGGAAAGTTCTAGAATGTGGTCTATCTTTCTGGTCTTCCATCTGTATTAATAACTCTCTGATCTAGGGAACAGGATGGCATTCTTTTTCATTTCGATGGGCACTTTAGCTGTTGCTGTGCAATAAACACACATCCCTGGTTGGCCTGGATGGTTTGCCCTGGGCGATTACCCTAAAGGTTAGTAGTTCAAATCCACCCAGCGGTGTGCTGAAAGAAAGCACTGGTAATCTTTATCCATGAATGCTCTGGGGAGCACTTCTACTTTATAACCCACTGGGCCACCACGCGTTGTTGTAACTGACTCCATGGCGGCAGGTTTGGTGTTCTGGATTGGGACACAAGAGTGAAAAGGCCAGCACTGGCCCTTTCGTGGGAGCCCCTCTTTGCTCAGGGCTGTGGGGAAAGCAGAGGGCTGCTACCTTGAACTTCTTTATCTGGAGCTCCATGGTCTGGATGTCAGTGCTCAGCTCCAGGCGCTGCAGCTGCTCCAGCTCCTCCTCCGTCTCGCCCAGCCAGGCCCAGATGTTGTTCAAGTCTGAATTGAACTGCTGCCATTTCTGGAGGTTCTGTTTCATTCTCAGCTCCTTGCTCATTGCCTGGGCCTGGAGGAGCTCCCAGCGGTCGATCACACCTGGCAAGATGAGCACAGAACAATCAGGTGCCCTCTTCACACACCCAGATGGGTGACTAACTTCAAAGAACAACGGGGCGGGGGGGCAAAAACAGGAATTCTGGTGGGCATCTCGATTGTTGGCACATGTAGTTAACAGTACCATGATTCTATTTCTCCTATCTGCATTTATAATGGCATGGAGGGGGTTTTGTGTGTGTGTGTGCATATGTATTTATGTTATGTAGGACTTAACCCTCTAAAGCAGTATGTTCGTTGCTACTTCATAACTGTGATTTTGCTACTGTTGTGAATCGGGAGACCCCTGTGAAAGGGGCATGTGACCCCCAAAGGGGTCGAGACCCACAGATTGAGAGCTGCTGCTCTAAAGAGCTTTACAGAGCAAGAAACAGCAATGGGTCTGAAGGTATCATCCAATTCTTGCTTGTAGTCTACAGCAGGGCACTGAGATCTGTGATACCCCATACCCAGGAAGGGCCTGGCCCCATACATTGACAGACAGTGCACTAAAGTAAGCAGGGCCTGGGTCCAACACCTACACAGCCCTTCACCTTCCTCTGTCTCTCCTGGAGATCACTGTAAGATGGACAAAGGCTCTCCAGACAGAGCAGAGAAAGAACCTCGGCAGTCTGTGATGGCTAAGTTGATGTGTCTACGTGGCCAGCCTCTGCTTCCCTTCCCAGTGATGTAGGCAAACACGTGTCCGGCTGCTATCAGGGTTCGACCATTGGGTCTTGGGTAGAGCAGATTGCTTCATGGCCTTGTGAAATGCAGGGCAATCACTTTCCACAATGCAGTCCAATGGGATGTGGTCACTTCATCATCTGAGGTTACATCACTGTGGGGTGGAGCCCAAACCTTATCACTTCTGAGCTATCAGAGGAGCAGAGTGGTCGCAGGCACATCCCCTCCCACAGGAAGACAGAGGCCATGTGAGAAGTGAGAATCATCTATCTATTAGCCAAAGGCTCACGAGAAACCCACGACTACCTGCAAGGATGGAATGGCTGCAGCCAAGACCCTGATTTGGAGCTCTTGCCTCCAGAGCTGTAAGTGAGCACACCTGCTCTTCACAGTCGCCCACTAGGGGCACATCGGCTGCGGCAGCGGCAGCGCTCTGGAGCTGAGGCCCGGAGCGGAGCACAGTGCCTCCGGTCTTCGGACTCTCCTCTCTGCACGGACGCGGCCCACTCACCGGCTGTTTGGGTTTCAGTGCAGTCCAGGTTAACGAAGCCAGGGAAATTCTCCTCTTCCTCCTTGAGTTGGTGGCCCAGCCTCCTCACCGAGTCGATGCTGCCACTGCACTCCCCCAGCAGTCTCATCTGTTCAGACGACAAACACGGGTCCCGTGACCCCAGCCCTCACTCATGCCAGAGCTTCGGAGAAAAACCACCTCCCAGCTGCGGGGCAGGCACCGGGGCTGTGTTTGCCTGAGCACCCAGTGAAAAACCATCTCACTCCACTGAGGATTGGTTCGCCCATTGGAGACATAGTCCTGGGAGACACACTCGGCTGGTGAGAAAGGGCCTCAGCATTGCTCTTCAATGCACATATCAAAACAAAGTAACTGGAGCTGGGTTTAAACCTCAGAGCCCTCTGTCAACAATGCCACAGAGAACTGGGGACAAGTCGCTCCCACTTTCTTATCCTGGCTCCAAATGGGGGCACCGCAATCATGTGACTGCAGATAATACCACATTCTTTTAGAAAAAAATAGAGATTACCACAATCTCACAGGGAATTTTTATTTTGCATTAAAATATTAAGATACTTAAAACCATCAAGCAATATGTAGGCCAGATGTTACATAAGAAAACAGAAGTCCTTTAATAGGTATCAACTCGGGAGAAAGGTGGGGCTTTCTCCTCTAGTAAACAGACAGGGTGTTTGACACTCGGAGGGGGCAGTCCTACCCTATCCTGTAGGGTGGATGGCAGTGAATAAGAGGTATTAAGGGGCTAATTTTTAATACCAATGAAAAAGCTTCTACCATCTTTTTTTTGGATGTCATCAGCCACAGCAATCATAGATTAAAAGAACAAATCATTTGTAGCTACTCCTGCAATGCTGACCATTTAATAATAGTCTGTTTTGAATGCTTAACAAGTCCAGATGTTAAGCTACCTTGATTACTTTTGATTAAGGTTAAGCACCGTTTCGGTGGCAGCACCAGGCTCGTAACACCTTATTATCCTTTTACAAAGGCAAGTTTTGCTTGTTCAAAGTTGGTAGGCCAGGCTAAACTGGACACACAAGAACTTGGGCTTGATTAAAAGCTCACCACCGTCCAGTTGATTTGGTCTAAAAGCCACCCCATACGACAAAGTGCAACCGTCCCACTGGTTTGCCACGACGTTGGGAGCAGATAGCCTCCTCCCTCTTTCACAGAGTGGCTGATGGTTTCAAACCTCTGACTTTGTGGTCAGTCACTCAATGTATCGCCCACCACACCACCAGGGCGCTGCACCAAACTCACTGCCATCGAGTGGATTCCGACTGAACGTGACGATGCTACAGAACAGTAGAACTGGCCCTGTGGGTCACAAGGACTGTGACTCTTTATCGGCGTAAAAAGCCTCACCCTTCTTTCACAGAGTAGCTGGTGGTTTTGAACTGCTGACCTTCCAGTTAGCAGCCCAAGGCGTAACCCACTGCCCCCTATAAGAGGCAACTTCAAAAAGTTGGTGGGAAAATGCCACTATCTTTTAACTTCATCCCCCACACGTGCTTTTTGAAGCTCCTTCATGTAGACTGAATAGTTCCCACCCCTCCTTTCAAAAGGCAGTAGGTGGGAGCGGTTATTCAAGTGAGGAAGAATTGATTGTTCAAAGGCCCACCACCACGTGCCTGTCAGTCTGTTGCTGGGGTTCTAGAAACCAAGCACCAGCATTTCAAACACCAGCAGCGTTACCGCTGGGGGACAGGTTCCAGTGGAGTTTCCAGGCTCAGGCAGATGAGGAAGAAAGGCCAGGTGACCTATTTCTGCAAGTAAGCCCATGCAAACCTTAGGACTACAGCTACAATGTGTTCAGGCACAGTGTGTGTGTGTGGGAGGTGGTGGGGGTTCGGGGAGGAGGCTCCCATGTTTCCTTCGGCCACACATAAGGTCACTCTGAGTCAAAGTCAACTCGATGGCTTTTCTTTCCTTTTACTTAGCAGTTTGGGGGTGTGCAAGGCAGCTGTGAGGCAGGAAAGGGACCTTCTTTAAAATTCTCTTGCCGGTGCCTGGCTCCGTGATTGGAGCCACGTGAACAGCATTATCCCCAATTGTCCAGTAGCTACTGAAGGAGTACCACTGATCATACATACTTCTTTGTGGCTATTTTTGCCCACACCCCTCCTGTAATTCAGAATGGTTTTCTTTCTTGTTCTCAAATAAAAATGGATGATGAAAAACAGGACAGGAACATCCCCAAGGTCACTAGGTGAACCAAAAAAACTCTAGGCAAAACCAGACAAACAAATTTTTAAAAATCTTGAGAAAAACAACAAACAGGACATGTCAGTCATCCATTAGCTATGACTTGCCTCTCCGAGAACAACCTAATCTAACCATTACGAGTTGACGTGGGGAAAATACCTAATGACATTTGGGATCCAAAGCCCTTTGTTGGTTTCAACCAGACCCATCTTCCCAAGCGCTCCGTGAAAGGAACGGGCTGGCCTTGAGCCCAAGACCTGCGCCTATAAATTACACACCCACGGCCCCACAAGGTAATTTAATAACAGAGCTTTGTGTTAGCCCTCTGCGTCCATGAGCTCAGGGGGCACAGCGTTCAGGGACCTCCCTGAGTCCTCTGGACAGAGGGTGCTTTGTCACGGAGCTGTGGTTTTCGGGCACACTACTGTCTCCGGGGGGGCTTAGGGTACTCACGTAGCCTTTATAGCTGGCATCCAGCTCTGGTCCCGTGGGAGTCTTGCTGCGGATAATATTTTCGGTCTGCTGCATCCGGAAGTGACTGTCATCCAGGGCTTTGTCCAGTTGTCGGATCTGAGACTCCAAGCCGCTGTGACCCCCTGTGGTGGCAACCAGGGGAACCTTTACCCCAGCCATTTGCCAGCGTGACAGTGAAGGCCGAGCTGAAGAGGATATCTCAGCTAGGGCAGCGTAGGAGTGTCATGTGTGAGGGTCATTACAAAGCAAGCAGAGTGGTGACAGTGATGTGCTGAGGGTTAGAAGTCTCTGCACAAAGCCCAGAGGGTAGATGAGCTCCCTGCAGCCCCTACCCCCTGAGGCCTCAGAGGGATTCGACCACTGTCCTGGACAGGCTCAGAGAAGCGGGCCCTTCTCTTTGACCCTCACTGATCTGACTGCTCCAAGCTGTGCGAGTCTTGTCTAAAAACCGAGGAGAGCCTGCCCCATTCCCCAATACCTAGGAAGGACCTAGTTCCTTGTCAGTCCTTCTGGAAGCCTCACCTTGAACAGGGGAAGAGGAGTCCTGGAATTATTATTTCCTGCCATGGAAGGCCCCCAGAGAGTTGCCCTCGTGGTATAGTGGTGACACATGGGGCAGCAGTGAGTTTGGCTTTATTACTTTTTTTTTAAGGTCCCTATGGCTCCATCATTCACTTTGTGTGGGAAGATCTCAAACTAGGAATGACTTGCTTTGTTTAAATTCCGCGGCACCTGGTTGGATCAATGGTGACATGCTCAGCCACCAGCCAGAAAAGGTGGTGAGTTGAACCCATTCAGCAGTGCCACGTGAGAAGGGCCTGGCGATCTATTTGTGTAAAGATTACAGTCATGACAACGCTACGCAGGCAGTTCTCTGTAACCCCTGGGCTCGCTCAAAGGTGTCCAAAAACAACGGTGACATTTAAACTTTGAGATGAAATAAAGAGACAGCGAAGGTCTAGGATTCCACCTACTCTGAAGACGTGTTTTTATCCTAGCTGGGCACACCTGGCTCTTTTCCCATCTCAGCGTTAGAACATCTCTGACAGGTAGGTCCATCTCTCCCCTGTTGCTGTCAGGTTGCCTCCTGGAGACCCGAGGTGTGTCTGCGTGGAACTGGACTCCAGAGGGTCTTTGCTGTGGCTGAGTTTGTGGAAGGGGATCACCAGACCTTGCTTCCCACGTGCCTCTAGGTGGGGCTGAACCTCAAATCTTTCAGTCCCCATTCAAATACACTGACCATTCCTTACAAAGGGACCCAGTCTCTCCCTGTCTCCCTCTCTCTACCTTCGTGCCAGTATTTGGAGAGACATATGCCTAAATATCTTGACAGCACCGATGATCAGCATGAAGCTAGCACAGGTGGCAGCAGACAGATAATTGCATGCTTTATTACATTTCCTTTTGTCGAGATAAAAAGGCTTTTTCGATGCCCTCAGAAGAAGTCTTTTACTCTGAGGCTCTCAGGCGGTTGTTACCTCATTCATGCTCCTTTACTTCCTCTCTCTCGGTCACATACACCTGACGCGTGCATATAAACTAATAATCTGGTGACGTAAAGCCTAACCCTGCTCTCCCCCAGCCTGGCGACTGGCCCTGTGACCTGGTGAGCTGCTCCACCCCTTCCTCTTCTCCTTTCTGGTAGCATAGTGGGTGACGAGTTGGGCCGCTAACCACAGGGCCAGCAGTTCAGTGAAAGACGAGGCTTTCC